GACCCCGAGTGCCTGCTCGTGGCCACCGACCGTGACCCATGGCACCCGCTGAGCGACGGCAGCCGGACCCCTGGTGAGCGCAGGAATGGCGGGGAAACTGAGATGGAGGCGATTTGCGCATTCGCCTCCACGCCTAAGGGTGAGGGGCGGGGAAGAGGCGTCTCCAGGTGGCAGGTGGGGAACAGGAGGGTGCGAGGGAGGCCCAGGGTGCTTTGGTGTGTGTAGGGGGATGATACCTGTAGCCGCCATCCTGTGAGGGGCAGAGTGTGGTCCCTGTTGGACAGATGAGGAAACTGAGGCCCATTGTAACTCAGGGAGTTGGGCGGAATTCTGCCCCACCCACTATCGCTCTGGGGTTGGAGAGGAAGCCTGGGAGGATTGTCCCTCGTTGTGAGGGTTGAAACTCCATTCCCAGAGGTAGGGTGTAGGCAGGTGTGTGGAGAGCAAAGGCGGTGGAGTTTGACCTCAGTTCCAGGTCCATCTCCAGCTCCACAGCTGTGTATTCATGTTCAGTTACATAACCTGCAAGCATCTCTGCCTGGGTGAAAAATGGCAGCGCTCACCGTGCCCGGTGATGGTGATCAGGGTGGGTGCCTGGCACGTAGTAGGTGTTCAGATGATGTAAGTTGTAGCCAGAGTCCACCATGTTACAGAGAACTTAATGAAACAGCTTGGCGTGTGTTCTTCTTTGGTTTCCAAATTGCTCTGGAGATGGGAGTTATTGTCCCATTTCTCAAAGAGACTGAGGCAGCCGGATGCAGTGGCAACGGCCTGTAGTCCCAGCTGCCTAAGAGGCTGAGGCGGGGGAGGATTGCTTGCGCCTAGGAGGTCAAGGCTGTAGTGTGCTATCATTGCATCTGTGAAAAGCGACTGTACTTCAGCATGGGCAACATAGTGAGACCTTGTCTGTAAAAGAAGAGGAAAGAAACTGAGGCTAAGAGAAGGGAAGTGAGCTGCCCAAGAACGTATATAGTGAGCCCCTCCACCTCCTGTGTCCCCACACACCTGCCTCCATCCTGCCTCTGGTAATTGGTGTTTCAGCCCTCACACATAGGGACAGTCCTCCCAGACTTCCCCTCCAACCCCACCCCAATGATGGGTGGGGCAGAAATCTGCCAGCAATTCACTGGCAGAGTGATAGAGCGCCGGAACCTGAATTTGGGCTTTGTGACACAGACCTCCAGTCCAGGGCACTCTTAACTGCTGTCATCTTGCTAGTTCAGCCTTCCAGGGGAGACAGAAGCAAAAGGAGGCCCCTCTATTGTGGAGGGATTGAGTTAGACAAGATCAGGTGGCAGCAGAGGCTACTTGGCAGTGGTCAGTGTGTGTGGACAGGTTAATAGCCCAGTCAGTAGACTGGGGCCGTGGACAGATCTCTGTCACTCCCTCTCTGCTGGCCACTGACCCATGTAGTCATTGATATTAAATCCTGGGGGTACAGGATGGTATTGAGTGAAGAGAAGTAAACACAGGATTATGGTGGGGTGGTGAGCAGGGCCTAGTGCCAGGGGCATCTGGGAAGACTCCCTGGAGGAGGCATGATGCGGAGCAGAGTGATAATACACCAGAAGATGTAAACCCAGTGTTATGGCATGGCAGAGAGGGATTCCGTAGTCCTTGGCCTCTCCTGGCTGTGCTGCACACCTGCTTGGTATGTGGGCCCACCTCAGCCTCAGTTTCCCCATAAATCTGTGTTGAGGGCTCTCTGGTCGGGGCTCTCAGCTGCAGCAGCTCTTGCCTGCCTTAGGCCATGCTATGAAAAGTTTTTCCCAGAAGGCCTTAAGGCTCAGGTTAAGGCTGTGGGTTAAGAGGTTCTCCAGGGCACAGGAAGGCTGGTTGTCAAGGAGCTAGGGAGAAACCAGGCCCTGCCCATGCCTGCCTTGCAGGCCTCTGTGGAATCCAGACCCCTGTGGTCTCAGTAGCCACCCGGCTGTGCCCACCCATCCTGCTGTCACTCCCACAGCCTAGAGGGGGAGGCAGAGGCTTAACAAACACGGCTCTGCAATCATGTTTGTGCACAACTTAACGATGCAGCTTTCAAACGGTGTGGTGTGGTGTGGTGTGACGTGACAGTATTAAAAGCCCTCATGATGCTTATGTCTGAAATAATGCAAATATCTGACCCCCAATTCCTCCTCCCCCGCCCCAGGGACCTCCGAAATTGTGTGTTTATCTTGTCACCACATGGCAGCCACTTGAGCTGACAAATAGAAAGGCCTGCTGTCTTAGGAATACGTCATCAGCATAACATGCAGAGCCGTGGATTAGAGTGGAGGGGAGTGGAATGATGGTGGCCTGAGAGACGTCGGCCTGAGAGAGGCCCAGATGCCCCTGCTAGGAGGCTGGCTCCCTGGGGTCAGGATCTTTGTAATGTTGACTGCTCTGTATCCTGTGTCTAGCATGTAGTTGGGCCTTAGTGAGTATTAGCTGAATGAAGGAAGTGAGACACAGGGCCCAAAGGTGATCAACTCCATCCTGGTGGGGAAGGACAGAGTTGGGGCCATTCTTGAGCTCAAAAGAACATTTTGGGATGACTCAGTGAAAGCCCTTTCCGTCCCAGAAGGAATTGCTCACCAGCGGAGCACATGGCTTTTATTCTCTCTTTTTTGTTTTTTTGTTTTTTGTTTTTTGTGTTTGTTTTTTTGAGACATAGTTTCACTCTGTCGCCCAGGCTGGAGTGCAGTGGCGCCATCTCGGCTCACTGCAACCTCTGCCTCCCAGGTTCAAGCGATTCTCCTACCTCAGCCTCCCCAGTGGCTGGGATTACAAGCGCTCACCACCACGCCCGGCTAATTTTTATTCTCTACCAAGTTCTTAAAACAGGCAGGTCACAAGATGTCAGATGAGGGGAGAACTCCCAGGGGTGTTGCCCTGGGCCAGCGTGAAAGCATGAGTTCTGGCCCACCTCGGCCTTGATCTTATGACCCTGGGAAGTTCCTCTTCCTCATCTGGGGGCAGCAGGGCTGAGGACTCTTGCTCTCCCTACCTGTTTTCCCCTTTCTTCCCCTTCCTCATCTTTGCCTTTGGCTTAATTGAGTGGAGTGTTGTCGGCTATGGGAAGGGAGATAGGAGGCCCAGAGCATTTGGGGTCAGACCAGTGGCGCACTGAGAAATGTGGAATAGCAGGGAAAGCCATGATTATACTGTGTGCTGGCTTCTGTGGTGTAAATACTCCCAATACAACCGACCTTGAGCTACCAACGTGAAGTCAGTCCCTGAAGGTAGGGTTGGGAAGACATGTGCAGTAGCACACACCTTCTTACAGATTTCCACCATCACAGGTATGGTGGAACTTCAAGAGCAAAACAAGCAGAGGCTAGTGTGGTTCAATAACTAAGAAGTGATGAGTTTTGAGAACTTATTAACATTTGTTTTAAACATTATCATTTAGGCCGGGCGCAGTGGCTCACGCCTGTAATCCCAGCACTTTGGGAGGCCAAGGCGGGCGGATCATTTGAGGTCAGGAGTTCGAGACCATCCTGGCCAACATGGTGAAACCCTGTCTCCACTAAATATACAAAAATTAGCCCGGTGTGGTGACACGCGCCTGTAATCCCAACTACTCGGGAGGCTGAGGCAAGAGAATGGCTTGAACCCAGGAGGTATAGGTTGCTGTGAGCTGAGATCGCTCCATTGCACTCCAGCCTGGGCAACAGAGCGAGACTCCATCTCTAAATAAATAAATAAATATAAAAAGCATTATCATTTAGTTGTAAATTTGTAAGCTGACTTTTTTTTAGACAGGGTCTTGCTCTGTTACCCAGGCTGAAGTGCAGTGACATGATCACAGCTCACTTTAACCTCAAACTCTTGGGCTCAGGCGCTCTTCCTGCCTCAGCCTCCTGCGTAGCTGGGACTACAGGTGTATACCCCTGCACCCCACTATAATCCTGTGTCTACTTCTCTTCACTCACTACCATCCTGTATCCCCAGGATTTAATATCAATGACTGTCCGGGTCAGTGGCCAGCAGAGAGGCAGTGACAGAGATCTGTCCACGGCCCCAGTCTACTGATTGGGCTATTAATCTGTCCACACACACTGACCACTGCCAAGTAGCCTCTGCTGCCACCTGATCTTGTCTGACTCGAACCCTCCACAGTGGAGGGGCCTCCTTTTGCTCCCGCCTCCCCTGCAGGGCCAAATTCGCAAGATGACAGCAATGAAGAGCGCCCTAGACTGGAGGTCGGTGTTACAAAGGCCAATAATTTTTTTTATTCTTTGAAGAGACGGGGTTTCATGGTGCAGGCTGGGCCTTTTATTTGTTTGTTTATTTTAAATGCAGCTGTGCCTGGAATAAGTTGACTTTTTTTTTTTTTTTTTTTTTTTGAGTCGGCGCCTTGCTCTGTCGCCCGGACTGGAATGCTGCAGTGGTGCGATCTCAGCTCACTGCAGCCTCCGCCTCCCGGGCTTAAGTGATTCTCCTGCCCCAGCCTCCCGAATAGTTGGGATTACAGGCATGTGCCACCGCACCTGGCTGATTTTTGTGTTTTTAGTAGAGGCTGGGTTTTACCATGTTGGCCAGGCTAGTCTTAAACTCCTGACCTCAGATGATCCACCCCCCTCGGACTCCCAAAGTCCTGGGATTACAGGCGTGAGCCACGGCGCCCAGCCAACTTTTCTTTTTTCTTTTTTTTTTTATTTTTTAAATATATATGTATATTTATTTAAGTAGGAGTGGAATCTCCCTATGTTACCCAGACTGGTCTTGAACTCCTGGGCTCAAGCAGTCCTCCCACCTATGCTTCCCAAAGTGCTGGGATTACAGGCATGGGCCCCTGTACCCAGCCATAAGTTGACTTTTAATAGTACCTTCCTTTGGCTGGGCGCAGTGGCTCACGCCTGTAATCCCAGCACTTTGGGAGGCGGAGGCGGGCAGATCACGAGGTCAGGAGATCGAGACCACGGTGAAACCCTGTCTCTACTAAAAATACAAAAAATTAGCTGGGCGTGGTGGTGGGTGCCTGTAGTCCCAGGTACTCAGGAAGCTGAGGCAGGAGAATGGCGTCAGCCCGGGAGGCAGAGCTTGCAGTGAGCCAAGATCGTGCCACTGCACTCCAGTCTGGGCGACAGAGCGAGACTCTGTCTCAAAAAAAAAAATAATACCTTCCTTTAACGCCCAGCTCATAAAATTCCTGCAAGGGAAACAATTTGTACTCCCAGGTCAGAGCTGGGTTGGACCCACGCAAATGCAAATCCTTTTGCTGCCACTTACGAAGCTGTACAACCCTGGGCAAGTTACTTAATGTCCCTGAGCCTTGGCATTCTCATCTGTAAAATGGGCTTCCATAAACACCCAGCACAGGCCAGGCGGTTTAGAATGTGCTTAGTAAATGGTGATTATCATCATTTGTTCAGGGCCATTAGCATGAAGGCAGAATGTTCTGGCACAAAGACATGTCTGTGGGACAGGCACAGTGGACTTTTTGTGTGAGGCAGGATGGTACTGGGCTGGGAGACAGGACTGTCCTTTAGTTCTATACAGTCCTCCTATTGTTGGACACTTGGGCGTGTTCCACAGTTTGACTTATCAGTTACTGTAGCCCCAGACATCTTCCAGCCTGCAGCTTTCTGTCTCCAGTTGGAATTCTCTTCTTGTGATCACTTTCCCGGGGGAGGCGGACTGGGTCAGAGGTGCGAACATTTCTGTGCCCCGCTGTGTTCCGAAGGGACTGTGCCAGTTTCTGACGCCAGCCGCGTGACTTCTTGCAGCAGTAACCACAACTGCTATTTGTTAAGTGCTGCTCCATTTACAAATCACTTGCCCCTGTGATGCCCAGCGCCCCTTTGGAGGTAGGCCTTGCTTGGATTCCGCTTTTGCAGGAGTCTGGAGAAACTCGGGGGGGTCGAGTGGTTTGCCCAAAGGCCCACTGCTGCCAGGGTGAAATCGCGAACCTCAGGCAGGACTGACTGAGCCAGGCCCTGTTTACCTGCAGTAGCTCCACCCGTCCTCACAATACCCACATGAGATAAGTGCCATAGACATCCCCGTATTAGATATGGGAAAATCAAAGCACAAAGAGGATAGCTAGCCTGTCAAGAACGGTGGAGATGGAGTCCAGATGCCGGCATCTGGTTGCCCTCTCTACCCTTAGCCACTAAATAAGACTCGGAAGTGGGCTTTCTGGCTCGTGTCAGCAGCTGATTTGACCCCAGCACAGTCTGCCTCCCTGGACTTGCAGTTTCAGGGCCTGACACTGTCCCTGCCGCCCGCCTGCTGACTGCGTCTCCATCTCCCTACAGGCACCGGGAGCCTGGCCGCTGCGGTGGAGACGGCCTCGGGACGCCAGGCCCTGGTGGTGGGCAAGCCCAGCCCCTACATGTTCGAGTGCATCACAGAGAACTTCAGCATCGACCCCACACGCACACTTATGGTGGGTGACCGCCTGGAGACCGACATCCTGTTCGGCCACCGCTGCGGCATGACCACCGTGCTCACACTCACAGGAGTCTCCCGCCTAGAAGAGGCCCAGGCCTACCTGGCGGCTGGCCAGCACGACTTCGTGCCCCATTACTATGTGGAGAGCGTCGCAGACTTGACAGAGGGCTTGGAGGACTGAGCCCACTGCACCTGCAGCCACAGGCCCGCCCCTCCCCACGCCCTGATCCTGTAGGTCACGAGCCGTGTTACACACCACCGGCTCCTTGGCCCAGTTCTGCACCGGGGTGGGGCTGGGACCTGGGGAAGGTTTGAGGGACCCTTGCAACCCCCTCCCAGCAGTGGCTGGGCACTCTTTGCTGCCCCAGAAGCTGGTCTCCTACAGATTCATCTTGGCCTGACCCAGCCAGGTGGACTTATTTCCTGCCCTGTCACCTCCCCTCCTTGAAATCTGGGCCCTGGTGCCCGCTGAAGATTTCCTCTAGCCCTGAGCACTTAGTCTTCTCCCCCTTCCCTGGGTCTTCTAGAGCTCTCTCTGCCCCTCAGGTCCTGGCCTTTGGGTCCTTGTCAAGCGGAGGTCTAGGGAAACCACAACCCTTATTGTCCTGAGTGCCGGCAAAGGCTAAGTGATAGTGACCTCATCGATGTTGGGTCCTGTGGGGTACCAGTTTAGGTTCCTAAGTAACAGTGACCCTTTTCGTCCTGGAGCCCGAGTGGACCAATCGGAAGCCTAAGTGACGATGACCCTCGCATGTCCTAGGTCCCTGGGTGGACCCATCAGGACCCCAAGTGATAGTGACCCAGTGGTCTTTTAGATCCTCAGTAGAACAATCCAGAAGCCTAAGAGACAGTGGCCCCTTGATAATCTGGGTCTCACGGGACCAGTCAGGGGTCCAGGTTTCAGTCCGTAAATAACAGTGGTCCATGTCCTGAAGACACCCCTCCTCTACAAAGACTGTGATGCTCTGGGGCTTCTGTGGCCAAGCCCCACCCTTTCGTGGTCATGGTACCCGTACAGTGTTGATGGCCACAGCTCAAAGGGGGCTTTCATGTCTCCCTGTGCAGTCAGTGTTTGCAGTACCACCTCTCTCCCATGCCCACTCTCAGCTATTTATTTAATTTATGTGTGCCAGTGACGGTGGGTGGGGGCTGGGCCTTCCCCGCCACCTCCACCCCTGTTGTGACCTGTCCTTCCGTACTTAATAAAGTGCGCGTGGGAGTGTTCACCTGTGTTCGAGTCCATGTTTGGGGAGGGAGGAGGACCCCCTGCTGGAGCCTGCTCTCCCTGGAGCTGGCCTGCCACATTGTTCCCTGCATGAAATGACCCATTCCCGTTCCTGAGTGTCTTCTGCGTGTAGCGATACTTTGAGTCAAGAGCACTTGATATGTCGCTGAGTCTTGGTGTACCGACTGACTTCAGTGCTTTGGAAAACCCAGCATGTTTGAATTACTCATTCCTTTTCAGCAGGAAATGGGGGATCAGAAATACGATGTTAACTTACCAAGGGTGAACAGCTGGACGCTGTGCTCGCCTTATGCAGGATTTGAACATGCACTGGCTGACTGTAGGAAGCTGTAGCCCCCTCTCTGGAGACACTGAGAAGGGAGACAGGAGGGCGGAGGATGAGGTCTCAACCTCAGGGAGCTCAGGGGAGATGCTCTTTGAGACATCCCCACACCTGGGATGCTGCCAGTGACAGTCTACCCCGCTGGTCCCGAGCTCCTCCAGGCAGAGGCTGTGTGTCTCCCTCGTTGCTGCATCCCTGGGGCCTAATGCAGAGTAGGTGCCCAGCCATGAGCTAGCGGGGGTCCAGGGGCAGCCTGGAAAGGCCCAGAGAAGCTGAGAGCTGCGTGGGGAGGTACGGTGGGTGCTGCACAAGCTCAGCTTTGGTCTCATTGGTGAAGTGACGGTGGGACTTCAGGGTCTGGGAAATCCTCTCCAGTATGATTCTTGAGAAGAGGGTGTGTTTGACAGAGCCCAGATGCTTCGTGAAGTAGGAGCAAATGTAGTGCAGTCATGGAGACTTGTGTTTGTTTCAGAAACTCAGTTCAGCCAGGCACAGTGGCTCACACCTGTAATCCCAGTGCTTTGGGAGGCTGAGGCGGGTGAATCACAAGATCAGGAGTTCAAGACTAGCCTGGCCGAGATGGTGAAACCCTGTCTCTACTAAAAATAGAAAAATTAGTTGGCCATGCTGGCAGGCGCTTGTAATCCTAGGTACTCGGGAGGCTGAGGCAGAGAATCGCTTGATCCCGGGAGGTGGAGGTGGCAGTGAGCCAAGATCGCGCCACTGCACTCCAGCCTGGGCGACAGAGCGAGATTCCGTCTCAAAAACCAAAACAAACAGGCCAGGCACAGTGGCTCAGGCCTGTAATCCCAACACTTTGGGAGCCGGATCATGAGTTCAGGAGTTCAAGACCAGCCTGGCCAACACGGTGAAATTCCATCTGTACTAAAAACAAAACTTAGTTGGGTATGGTGGCGGGAGCCTGTAATCCCAGCTACTCGGGAGGCTGAGGCAGGAGAACTGCTTGAACCTGGGAGGCAGAAGTTGCAGTAAGCCGAGATTGTGCCACTGCACTCCAGCCTGGGTGACAGAGTAAGACAACATCTCAGAAAAAAAAAAAAAATTCAAAAATTAGCCAGGCGTGGTGGTGGTGGCTTGTGCCTGTAGTCCCAGCTACTCGGGAGGCAGGAGAATCATTTGAAGTTGCAGTGAACTGAGATCACGCAGCTGTACTCCAGGCTGGGCAGCAAAGCAAGACTCCGTCTCAAAGCAAACAACAACAACCAAAAAAAACTCAGTTCAACGTGGCTAAGGCATAGGGGGTTCTGGTCTGCTCCCTGAGGTGGTCTAGCACCCTCCAGGTGTATCCTCAGTTCTGTCTCACCATCTCCCCAGCCAACATTCTAGGACAGATTCTCATGGCCTGGCTTGGGTCATAGCCCATCTGGATGGGACACAGCTATTGGGCCATGTGACCCTCCCCGCCTTCCCCTTCACCCTCCACCAGTAAGGAAATGGTTGTCTCTACACAGTCTTGCCTCAGCCTCCCAAAGTGCTGGGATTACAGGCGTGAGCCACACCCCGCCTAAGCACTGAATTTGTTTTGTGTTTTGTTTTTGCATAGGTTCTCGCTCCGTCACCCAGGCTAGAGAGCAGTGGCGCGATCTTGGCTCACTGCAACCTCCGCCTCCCAGGTTCAAGGATTTTCCTGCCTCAGCCTCCCGAGTAACTGGGATGACAGGCACCTGCCACCACACCGGCTAATGCCACCAGGTCTGGCTGATTTTGAGTAGAGGTGGGGTTTCACCATGTTGGTTAGGCTGGTCTCAAATTCCTGACCTCAAGTGTTTGCCCACCTCGGCCTCCCAAAATGCTGGGATTATAGGCATGAGCCATCTTGCCCGGCCTCTAAACACTGAGTCTTGAGTTTAAAGCTTGAGTGTAAACCAGTCTCAGTAATTTGATTCCTCAGGGTCAGCGATTGGCTACTCTTCTGACCAATGAAACAGGAAGAGAGGTCTGGAATGTTTGCCTTGCCTCACCTTTTTTGTTTTGTTTTGTTTTTTGAGACAGCGTCTCTGTCACCCAGGCTGGAGTGCAGTGGTGCAATCTTGGCTGACTGCAACCTCTGCCTCCTGGTTTCAAGCGATTCTCCTGTCTCAGCCTCCTGAGTAGTTGGGACTACAGGCACACACTGCCACGCCCGGCTAATTTTTTGGCATTTTAATAGAGAGTGGGTTTCACTGTGTTGCCTAGGCTGGTCTCAAACTCCTGGTCTCAGGCAATCCACCCGCCTCGGCCTCCCAAAGTGCTGGGATTACAGTTGTGAGCCACCGCACCCAGCTGTTTGCCTTATTTTTAAAGGACATAGAGGAGGAAGTCACTTCTCCTGGCTTGGGGTGTGGTGCTGGGAGCCATTGCAGCCACTCTGTGATCAGGAGGTATGGCTGAGCATTTGACTCAGGTGACCCTGCTGCAGGCAGCAGAGCAGAAAGACCGCAAGAACTTACTGGGTTTGCTTTTCCCCAACTTGTAATTTAGAAAAGTTTCAAATTAATAGAAAAGGTGCAAGGATGACATGATGAATACCGCTACATCCTTCACCTAGATTTACCAGTTGTTAATATTTGCCTAGTTTGCTTAATTGTTCTTTATATGTGTTTACTTTTTGTTATTGTTTTAGAGATGGTCTCACTCTGTTGCTGAGTCTAGGCTGTACTGGCACAGTCACAGCTCATTGCAGCCTCTAACTGCTGGGCTCATGTGATCCTCCTGCCTCAGCCTCCTGAGTAGCTAGGAGCACAGGCATATGCCACCACACCCAGCTAATTTTTAAAAAAAATTTTGCAGAAACGGGGTTTCCTTTTTGTTTTGTTTTGTTTTAGAGACAGGGTCTCACTATGTTGTCCAGGCTGGAATGCAGTGGCTATTCACAGGCAGGACCCCACTGCTGATCACTGGGGGAGTTTTAACCTGCTCTGTTTCTGACCTGGGCCAGTTCACTCCTCCTTAGGCAGCCTTGTGGTTGCCTCTTCCAGGAGGTCACCATATTAATGCCAGTCTTAGCGCACTACAGCCCACGATTCCTGGGCTCAAGCGATCTTCCTGCATCAGCCTTCCAAGACGCTGAGATTACAGGCATGAGCCACTGTGCCCAGCTTGTTTACATTTTTTTAACTGAACCATTTGAGAGTGTGTTACAGATGCTAACACAGTTCACTGAAAATTCTTCAGCTTGTATGGCCTAAGAGCAAGGACAGCCTACACAGCCTACACAGCCACAATCCAAGATTACACGAGAACCCAGATATTTGATGATTTTGTTGAGCCACTGAATCTGTTATGGAAACTCCCAACTGCAGACTTCTTTTGGTTTTTTTGTTTTGTTTTGTTTTGTTTTGAGACGGAGTCTCGCTCTTTCGCCCAGGCTGGAGTGCAGTGGCCGGATCTCGGCTCACTGTAAGCTCCACCTCCCAGGTTCACGCCATTCTCCTGCCTCAGCCTCCCGAGTAACTGGGACTACAGGCGCCCGCCACTATGCCCTGCTGATTTTTTGTATTTTTTATTAGAGACGGGGTTTCACCATGTTAGCCAGGATGGTCTCGATCTCCTGACCTCGTGATCCGCCTGCCACGGCCTCCCAAAGTGCTGGAATTACAGGTGTGAGCCACTGTGCCCGGCCTTTTTGTTTCGTTTTTAAGACAGGATCTTGCACTGTCGCCCAACCTGGAGTGCAGTGGTGTGATCACAGCTCACTGCAACCTATGCCTCCCAGGCTCAAGCAATCCGCCCACCTCAGCACCCAAGCAGCTGGGATTACAGGCACGCACCACGATGTCCAGCTAATTTTTGTATTTTTAGTAGAGATGGGGTTTCACCACATTGCCCAGACTGGTCTCGAACTCCTGAGCTCAAGGAATCAGCCCACCTCAGCCTCCCAAAATGTTGGGATTACAGGCATGAGCTACTGCGCCCAGCCTAGACTTCTTATGAAAAAGTTTTCCTTAATTTTAAAGTGATTTCCATTGACTTTTCTGTTACTTGCAGCCAAAAAACCTTCCTGATACACAGACTTCAGGCACATCATTAGAAAACATTAAAAGGGCCGGACATGGTGGCTCACACCTATAATCCCAGCACTTTAGGAGGCTGAGGTGGGCAGATCATGAGGTCAGGAGATCGAGACCATCCTGGCCAACACGGTGAAACCCCGTCTCTACTAAAAATACAAAAAATTAGCCAGGCGTGGTGGCGGGCGCCTGTAGTCCCAGCTA